ATTTCATTCAATTATGTATTTATATTTATTTTAATAATTTAATACTAACATCCTTAAAAATATTTTATTACTTTCAATAATTTATTGTAATTATTTAATAATAAAAAAATTTATAATTTATATATTAAAATATTAATAGTGAGTTATATAAAATATATTTGTATTATAATTATATTATATTTTATTTGTACTTTTTATATTTTTGTTATAGTTTAAATTGATATAATTCATATAATAATAATAATAGTTTTTTTGAATTTATTATAGTTTAAATTGATATTTTTTTAGTAAAAAAGAAGAAAATGAGAAACGATACCGTTTCCAATCACAATCTTAGGGTTTCCTTCCCTAATCTATCTGAGATGAAAGTATGCACTCGATAATTCTCTCTCCTCCTCCTCGTTTATTTCCAGTTTGGCCAAACCATCAGCGCATCCATTACTCTCTTTTAGAATATGCTTTATTTCATTCACCCCAATCTCTCTAATCAAAGCTTTGCAATCGTCTAACATAGCTCTGATTTGGGGGTTTTCTGTCTCTTCCTCTTGCAGCGTATTGATGACTTCCAGTGAATCCACTTCAACAATCAGGTTTTTCAGATCCATTTCTTTCGCCACGATAAGGCCTCTTTTCAATCCCCAAAGTTCTGCTAATAGACAAGATGATTTCCCCAGTTGGATCGAGTATCCTGTAACCCAATCTCCTTTGTCGTTTCTTATCAGACCACCCGCTCTAGCGCGTCCCGAGATCCTATTACAAGCACCATTCGTATTAACCGTAAAGTAGCCTTCTGGAGGTTTCTTCTAATGAACCCACCTGGGTTCCCTGGTAATATTCTCATTATTAACTTTCTTTGTTTTTTCAATATCAGTTGCAAGTCTGAGGCCATATTGGAAAATATGGTTTGGGTTCCTGATCTTCTCATTGAAAGTGTTTAGATTTCGCTCTTTCCATATTCCCCGTGTCAAACAAGAAAATAAGATGCCCCATTCGATGTTGCCATTTACCTTTTTTATGAAGTACTACGCTTTTTCATCCAGATTCCAAAATCAGAGATGTCGAATGGTTTCATCGAGACATTCTGATATGAGATATTCCAAACCTCTCTCGCAATTTAACAATTTCGTATGATGTGTTCGATAGATTCCATTTCCCTGGACAATCTTTGCAATTCACCTCTGTTGTCTTACGTTTTCACGCTCTTAATTCATTTGTGTTCAAATGATTTAGGCAGCATAGCCATATGAAGAATCTAACTCGTTCAACAGCATATCCAGTTGTATGACGTACCAGTTCCATCATTTGAATTCCTATTAATGATCTTCTTTGAAAGCTGATCTAACTGAGAACGTTCCATCTTTTTCAAACCCCCTAAGTTTCTTTGGTGATTGACCGATTGTTAAAGGTGATTGGTGGTTGACCGATGGAGTAACCATATCTGAGAGTGGAGAGCATGGATGGAAGGGTTAGAAAAGCAAAGAAATAAAGTGAAAAAATAGGGGGACCTTAAAATGGTGATATATATTTGCTTCCAAAATTACTTAGTTTTGGGTGGATGATGAATGAAAAGGAAAAATTACAATTTCAGTCCTCTGACATAGAAACAACCGGTAATCACATAAGTAAAAATTAATGTTTATGTTAATAAAAACGGTCAACGGTATAATTTGATATGATTAAATAATTTTAATGTTTAGTTTTACGTGAAAATATGTTAAAGATGAAATTGATAAATTTGATTTACTATTAAGGTAAAAGTTAACCTTAAACCAATTTTTAAACCGTGATGATTCTCTGCATTAGGTTCGGAATGTCGATAACTAGAGGCTTCTCCTAACTTCCCCAATTATAATCATATTCTAAAAAAATGAAATCTAAACAGAAAACTAAAATTGAAGCATGTGTTGAATTGTTTTATTTTTACATCATTTTAAAATAGCCGTTTTGAGCTTGTTTTATTTTATAATTTTGTTAAATTACATTAAATTAAATGTCAAAACATTTATTCTTACAACAAATATATTAATTTATCCCTAAGCCTATAATGTAAAATTCGGGGAGATAATTTAGATGGGTGTTGTAGACCAGCCATGTTATCTGGAAGCTTCTTTCATACAAGTTATTACAAAATAAAACTCTAGAAAAAACGAGATACTTTTTGGCGATTGGATCTGTCACCTGCGGGTATCTCTGCTTTTTTATCCGTTATTTATATCATATCTTAGCATTTCATTTGTGTTCCAGCCTTTCCACCTTTTTTTTTTTTTTACTTCATTATTTATAGGCGAACAAAACTCAATGAAAATTTATTCATTTAATTGTACCGAAATAATTTCATTTTAATTCTGTTTTAAAATTAATTATATTAGTTTAATTTTGAAATTTAAAATTATTAAATTGAATGAACTCTAATTTAGTATTAATATATTTATATATATTTAAACTCAAACTTAGTATTAATATATTTATATATATTTAAACTCAAACTTAGTACCGTCTTTTAACTATCTCAATATACCTACCAGGTCAAACTCTAAAAGCCCAATAACCCCTATCAAATTACAGAATTAGCTTTACTTCTACTGCTTTTATGATGTATTATTGTACGAAAAGCAATGGTAGGAGATCAAATATTTCAGGTCATTTCCACAAATAATATATGGAAATGCGACAGCAACACTTAATTAAAAAAGTTTATTGCATCATATGCCCCCAAACTACAGCTCTCATTGCAAATCGGTCTTTAAACTTTTGAATATTTCAATTTCATCCCTAAACTATGATTCTCATTCTAAATTAGTCTTTAAACTTTTGAACAGTCTAATTTCATTCCTCCGATATGATCGCTTTCTAAATAGGTCTCCAAACTTTTGAATGTTCCAATTTCATCCTCATATTCATCCAAATATGTAATTAGTTTCAATCGTGGTTTAAACTAAATTTTGGGTTTTCAAACAAATAATAATGTAACTTGGCCTAATAATTTTATTAACAAGGGATGTGATTAGTATATACTTGTAGTTTGGGATAAAATTGAAATGTTCATAAAGTTTGGGATCGATTTAGAATGAAGGTCATAATTTAGGTATGAAATTAGAATGTTCAAAAGTTTGAAGATTAATTTAGAATGATAGTCATAGTTTAGGAATGAAATTGTAACATTCAAAAGTTTAAGGACTAATGTAAAATGATAGTCATACTTTGAGGACATATGATACAATTAACTCATTAAGAATTAGAAAAAAGTTCAACAAAGGAACCATTTTGTTCATATTTAAAATGTATATGGAACACAAACCAAATCACTTTAATGATTAAAAGGATGGTTGTTATCTTAAGAGGTTCCAAGTTCGAGCACCAATTATTGAAGGGTATTTGAACATTCAGTGTCAAATAGTTGATATTCTTTAGAACAAATATTATCACTCGTAATCATCATAATTTAATAAAAATGTATATGGACCAATTTCCATATTTTTAGTGGAAGGAAAATAATATAAAAAAAGTTTTAGGAGATGTGAGAAATTTATATTATAATTTTAGGAGATGAGAAGTTATAAAATTATAAAAGTAAATTGTCAAAAAATATAAAAAATAAAAGAATTTAAGGGCCCATTTGATTTTATGAAAATAAATGTTATTTTTATTTTGTTAGTAAATAGAAACTGTTGAAGAAAATGTGTTTGACTGTAAAATTAGAAAATAAATTTTGAAAAATAAAATTAAAAATAAGCGAAGATATGAAAACATAAAAAAATATGCTTTCATTATTTTCACTAAAAATATTTTTGGAAATTTGAAAAATAAGAAAATACGTAGTCTATATTTTTAACTTAATTTACACACATTCAAATCCTTTTAAAAATATTTTTTTTACTTAATCGTATATGAAATCCTCAAACTTTACAAAAAAATATCATCTCTTAATTTTTTAACACTCAATATGATCTTTAAACTATTTTTTTTTTTTTGATAATTTAATTTTGTAATATTTTTATATTTAATGTATAAAATATCTTAATAATTTTTTTGTTTTATATTTTAAATTTAAATAATTTAATATTTTTTTTGAAAATTTAATTAAGTACTTAAACTTTATAAAAAATCAATTAGACCCTTGAATTTAGTAAAAAAATCAATTAAACTCATCTACCACATCATCATCCATCGTGCACTACTATATCAACATTGTAAACTATCACACCGACATAATCCATCATGCCTTACATCCCTTAATTTATTCATGAACTCAAAATCTTTATAATCCGTGGCCATAATCCATTAAAATTTTCTCGAAAGTAATAATATACTCTTGTAGAATATTAGGATATTCATGAATGAATATTCTTCTTCCATGGCATCAACCACAATAAGCACTCGGCACCAGGCCGGGCAAAAACTTTTACAATCACGGGCCCACCCAGTCCCCCATGAGATTCATAAATGCGATTCTCAAAGTCTACATGGTGCTTCTTACCCGAAATGCCCAAAATTCATGACTTTCAGCCGTACCAGTGTAAATTAAGTTCTGCCTTCATTGTAATGAAAATGAAGAAGCTGTTTTTTTTATGATGGTGAATGTGGCAACACAATTCTCACACTATGCTGAAATAAACTGAAACCCACCAACTCCATATACTAAATAATTGCGGCTGACAAGAATACAATGCAATGTTAAAGCTCATCGTTCCCAACAATGTGGGTTTCAGCTTCTCCCATAAATGGTGGATGAATGAATTTGAACTCCTCTGTTTTTCTGGGTAGAATCTGTAAAGCAACGCCTTAAAAGGGAACTTCGCCTTGCAAAGCTCGACAGAATCCAGCTATAACTGGATTCCATCCTTTCAGAAATATAAATAGTCAAATGTCCTAACCCACACATTCGTTAAGGGCAGCCACGTGTATCATAACGCAAAGTTTCTCGGCATAATTAAATGAAAAATAAAATTAAAAAATAATTAACAGGAGAATAATAATAAATTTAATTTTAGAAAAAAATTGAAACTATCCGTCAACTTCTCGTTTTCAATTTGGCCGCCGGCTGTCACCGTTGGCTATGGACGGAGAAGACAAACCGGATCGCGGGTTGTTGTTCTCCCCGTTATAGCCGTTGCGGATGGAACAACAACATCAGCCATCAAGAACATTGATAATTAGCATCGTTATTTTACGTTTATCGATTTAATCTTCGCTTTTCGAATAATTTATTGTCGTTTCGATTTGATTCGATGTCGGAAGATAATATCCGGAATGCTGTTGTATGTCTGCATGGCGACCTTGAACTGAAAATCGTCGAAGCTCGATGCCTACCGAACATGGATTTACTGTCGGAGCGGCTCCGACGATGCTTCAAGCCATTAGACCCGTTTAGTAGACGGAAGAAGAATCATCGCCCCCGTAAGATAATCACCAACGACCCTTACGTAACGGTCTGCCTAGCAGGTGCCACGGTAGCACGGACGCGCGTGGTTTCGAATTCGCAAAACCCCGTTTGGAACGAGCGCTTTAAGATCCCCCTGGCCCATCCGGCAAATCTGTTCGAGTTTTACGTTAAGGATAATGACGTGTTCGGCGCTGATTTGATAGGAGTAGCCACCGTACCAGCAGCTGATGTCCAGGACGGCGTACGGATTAGCGGTTGGTTCCCTATATTAACCTCTTACGGGAAACAGCCAAAACCCGACTGTTCGCTTCACCTGGAAATGAAATTCACCGGATGCGAGGAAATGCCAGTTTTCAAATACGGAAACGCGGCAAACCCGAACGAATTCGGATTCGGAAACTGTTATTTCCCCGCCCGGCACGGAGGTTCAGTTACTCTATACCAAGACGCGCACGTTATGAAATCGACGCTGCCGGAGATTGAGCTGGAGAACGGGACGGTGTTCAAGCACGAACCATGTTGGGAAGACATTTGCCATGCAATTTTAGAAGCGCATCATATGGTTTACATCACGGGATGGTCCGTATTTCATGAAGTGAAGCTCGTGAGAGAGCCGACGAGGCCGCTGCCTAAAGATGGGGTTATGAGTTTGGGGGATCTGCTGAAGAACAAATCGCTGGAAGGGGTTAGAGTTCTGGTGTTGGTTTGGGACGACAAGACTTCCCATAGCAAGTTCTTCATCAACACCGTACGGATTCTCAGCAAATTATTAGCAATATTCGGTTTCTTGTTTAAATATTATTGTAGTTTCTAATAAGGAAAGCGCTTGAATGCAGGCTGGAGTGATGCAAACACATGATGAAGAAACTCGGAAGTTCTTCAAGCACTCGTCCGTTACATGTGTGTTGTCCCCTCGATATGCCAGCAGTAAGCTTAGCATTTTCAAGCAACAGGCATGCTTATTGCTGCGGTCCAGTTCTTATTTGCGCATTTTTCCATCTAATCCACAATAAATTAGTTCTTTCCAGGGAGAAAAAAAATTATAATTGTGGGGGACTGAATGAAGTACTGACTTTAGTGCGACATGCAATCCAGGTTGTCGGAACCCTCTTTACGCACCATCAGAAATGTGTGATTGTGGATTCACTTGCATCCAGAAATAACAGAAAGATCACTGCTTTTTTAGGAGGTCTGGATCTTTGTGATGGTCGCTACGATACTCCCGAGCATCGACTGTTTCGGGACCTTGATACCGTGTATAGAGAGGATTTTCACAACCCCACATTTTCTGTGAGTATTTCATTGTTAGGAGTTCGACTGCAATTGGATTTGTGTTAACCATATGTACTAGGACCTCATCTTCTAGTACTTATATTCTTTAATTAGTTTAAAGAATCTTGACGTCAATTGTTCTTGCTGATTCTTTTGTTTCTCTTTTAATTGTTAGGCAGGAATTCAGTGTCCAAGGGAACCTTGGCATGACTTACATTGTAAGGTTGAAGGACCGGCTGCTCATGATATACTTAAGAACTTTGAGCAGCGTTGGAGGAAAGCCACAAAATGGGCTGAGCTCGGACGGCGATTGAAGAGGGGTAGTAAGAATGAAGAGTCTTTATTAAAACTGGAACGAATTTCTTGGATACTAAGCCCTTCTGAGACAGTTTCACAGGATGATCCTTCATTATGGGTTTGCAAGGAAGGAAATGCAGAGAACTGGAACGTTCAGGTACTACTTACCACATGCCCCTTGAAGCAAACTACTTTGATTTGATCTAACCTTTTTCTGGTTCTTTAAACCGGCAGGTTTTCCGGTCTATAGATTCAGGATCTGTGAAAGGGTTCCCTAAGGATGTTTATCAAGCAGATGCTGAGGTTTTAAATCATACTTTTACATCTGACCTAACCATTATCGTTCTTTTAGTTTGAGTTACTAATTAATAGATGGTTTAATTTTCAGTTTCCCATTCCTTTTACTGCAGAATCTTGTTTGTGCAAAAAATCTAGTTATAGACAAGAGCATTCAAACAGCATACATCCAGGCAATTCGAGCTGCTCAACACTTCATATATATTGAGAACCAATATTTCATTGGATCATCGTATGCTTGGCCATCTTACAAAGCAGGTTTCAGTAACCTCTATATCTTTTTTTTTCCGTATAATTTTCACACACTAAAAATTTCATTCTGTTTTCACATGTAGATTCTTGTGAATCTGAGAGATGATCTTTAACTCGGTCTCGGTTTCTGAGAGATTATCCTTTTTGGTACTTTTAGGTGCTGATAATTTGATTCCCATGGAGTTGGCACTGAAGATTGCTAGTAAGATAAGAGCGAAAGAGAGATTTGCAGTTTATATTGTTATACCGATGTGGCCTGAGGGTGTCCCTACTTCAACATCTGTGCAAGAAATTCTCTTTTGGCAGGTAGTATTTTTCTTCCCCCCTTTTCAAGTAGTAATAGATGATCGATTTGGAATTGACATTGGCATTATAATTATATCTTAGCATAGTGATGCTGATATTTCAGGGGCAGACATTTAAAATGATGTATGAAATCATAGGAAAAGAGTTGAAATCTATGCGTATGGAGGATTCTCATCCACGAGACTACCTAAATTTCTATTGCCTCGGTAACCGGGAAGAAGTTCCATCGGACTTTAATTGGTCAACTTCATGCTTGTTATCTCCTACAGGTGACACGGTAATCAAACAAGTTCTGTAGTGTATTAGAACTTGATTTGAATTGAGTTCATATGGAACTAAGAATGGTGAGTTGCATCACTATTTTCAGATTTCAACTTCACTAAGGTTCCAACGGTTTATGATTTACGTACACGCAAAGGGAATGATAGTAGATGATGAGTATGTGATATTGGGGTCTGCTAATATTAATCAACGATCGATGGCTGGTTCAAGGGACACCGAGATAGCAATTGGTGCATGTCAACCCTATTACACATGGAAAGAGAGGAAGAGACATCCACGCGGTCAGGTTTGAACCTTCCCATACACGTCACCTTGCTTTTGTATTTAAAATGTATGTATTTATTCACTTTTAATGTCGGAGAAATAGTGCTAACCAGTTCGGTTAACATGTAGGTTTATGGTTACAGAATGTCACTGTGGGCTGAACACATGCACGTAGTGAAGGATTTGTTCAAGGAACCTGAAAGTTTGGAGTGTGTGAAGACTGTGAACAGCATTGCTGAAGAAAACTGGGAAAGATACTCGAGCAACGAATTTAAGTATTTACAAGGGCACCTGCTGAAATACCCCGTTTTGGTAACTAGAAGTGGTAAAGTAGGCCCGGTGCCTGGAAAGGAGACCTTTCCGGACGTTGGTGGCAAGATTCTCGGGTGTCGATCAACACTTCCCGATGCTCTTACTACGTAGGCTTCCATAATTTTTGTAAGAGTACTCAAACTGACACTGAAGAAGGGGAGATAAGGCTGGGGCAACTCAACTTCTTCGTACAAAAAATAGTGCAGATTACACGACTGCCATGTCTCATGGTCTATTAAACAGTAAATATGTACTTTTTCGCTTAATTTTTTTTGCAATTCTTCCACCTTTAGCTTTAGGCCAGAAGGTTTCATAGATGGAGAGGGCTGCCCCGTTTTTACAGCTATCAGTGAATGAAAAAAAGAGAAGACAGCAAACCAAAAATCTATGATCTTATGGCACTCTGTATTTCTTTTCCTTAGCTTTGAGATTATTGAGATTGTTTGTTTCCCAGGAAAAATGAAGTTGGAAAACAATTTAAATCATGTCACAACCAAATGTACGCGAATTCAAAGTAAATGAAACAGGTTCTAAGATACAAAAGCATCATTTTTCCAGGTTTACTTGGTGCATAAATATTTCATCATTCCCGTTGCTGACACTAAATGTCACCAAAAATAGGAAGTAGTGGCAATGATGATCTTGCGAGATTCCTTAACCTTCATATTCTTGACTTCTTCCTCTCCTTTGTTTCACACACATCACAATCGAACGACATGACTCAGTGACTCGAGTTGTATGGCCGTCCGATGTTTGCTGTTCAAATATGAATATATTCTCTCTCTCTCCCCCCATTGAGAAATTCGATTCCCTTTCAATATTATTTCATTTCAATCCACCCGCTCACTACCTTTTGCCTTTCTGCCAAATTCGGAACATGCGGTGGTGGAAGAGGATTTCAATATTCCCTCCATTTCCTCATCTCCATTGCATGATTCCAATTCCCCGGTCTTTGTTCCTTTCTTCCTTCTATTTATAATCGGTAAACTCCATGACCAATCCATGTTGCAATCGCCAGCAACTGCGACTTCAGTTTTGTTTGGTATTCTTTCTTTTCTCCTTCACTGTTCACTCCCTTCATTCATTTTTTACCTAAACGGAATTGAAGTTATTTCATACTGCTCCATTTTCAGCACGATCCAGCGTCAAACTTGCGCTGCAACCTCTTGACTTACTATGGGTAACAGTAACGTGAACGTCGTAAGTGTCTTCCGCCGATTTAACATAATTAATTACCTTCTTCCTTTTGCTTTTGAAAATGGCATTTTTTTGTGGGCCACTTAAAGCTATTATATACCATTTCTCTGATGTCACGTTTTGTTGAAATGCAGAATACAGAGGAAAGCACTGATCTTGGTACGCTGTTCTTTCCCTTCGCATATATCTTGCTTTCTCTTTCTGGTATTTGGTTGTTTATCCTGTTCTGAAACTATGTTCCTGCTGGTCCTGCAAAAGGATGCTTTTTAATACCACATCTCCAATACAATATGCAGAGTTTAGTTACACTAATTGAAATTGTAAAGATAAAATGAAGCAATTTCAACTAAACTTGATAAGCACGCCTACCATTTATAGGCATTTGTTTTTGTGAATACTTGGGGTCTATGAGGATTATTTTGTGCCTTAACTCTTTAAGATGAAGAAACGGTAGAGACAAATGGCTCCTAAAGTATGCTTTTGGATTTAATTTTCAGATGCAGTGTTGCGAAATGGAAGAGAAATCCTTTTGCAGGTAAATGTGATAAATGTTGATCATTCTTTTTTATTGGACTGATATCATTACTCATCCGGGAATGATATTCACTGTTTCAAAAGTGGAATTTCATAACAAGCTAAGGGAAGAACTTTGAAGTTGTTTAATTTGTTCAACAGGGTTTTAACTGGGAGTCTCACAAATATGATTGGTGGAGAAACTTGGAAAAAAAGGTTCCTGGCATTGCAAAATCTGGGTTTACATCTGTATGGTTGCCACCACCAACTAATTCCTTTTCACCAGAAGGTTAGAGAATAGTTTTCATCAAAGCAAGAGCTAGTTTCTTATCGCGTCTGCACAAGTCTGATCAAGATATATATATATATATATATATATATATCCTCTCGTCTTATTACAGGGTATCTTCCCCAAAACCTTTATTCACTCAATTCTGCATATGGGTCTGAGCAGCTGTTGAAGGCTTTACTCCAGAAGCTAAAGCAGTACAAAGTTAGAGCGATGGCCGACATAGTAATCAATCATCGTATCGGAACTACTAAAGGACATGGAGGAATGTATAACCGTTACGACGGAATTCCACTCGCGTGGAATGAACATGCTGTCACATCGTGCACTGGTGGATTGGTAAGATGGTTTGTAATTGTGGACCTATACTGTCATGTAACATTTTCTTAACCTCAAATATGTCTCAGGGTAACAGAAGCACAGGAGACAACTTCAATGGGGTTCCAAATATTGATCACAGCCAACATTTCGTTCGTAAGGACATAGTTAAAGTGGTTATGTAGTGTTGGCTTTCAAGATTTTCGCTTCGATTTCGCAAGCGGGTAAGAACAATGCTGCACTAGTAGGTTATTATTGTCTCTAAAATTTATGTGCTTTCCATCTCAGTATATCAATGTTGCTACGATGTTTCGCTTCAGTTACTCGGCAAAATATGTCAAAGAATATATTGAAGAAGCTAAGCCTATATTTTCTGTTGGGGAGTATTGGGATTCTTGCAACTATAATGGACATGGATTAGACTATAACCAAGGTAATGCACTTGACCTGTTTTTTCATATCTGAGATCTTCCATAAAAGACAATAACCAAGCTGACTAGTTAAATATGAATGTTGTTGGTAACCGGAATGTTATATCTTTTACATTATATTCACAACCTCTACTGCAGATAGCCATAGACAAAGGATCATTAATTGGATTGATGCCACGGGACAGATTTCAACTGCATTTGACTTCACAACCAAGGGGATTCTTCAGGTATGATAGAAAATATAATATTGCTAATTTTCCCAAGAGAAAGGAACTGCATTTGAGCCTATTGCGGCACCAAATTCTCCTGCTGTTTTTGATGCATTTGTTTTGATATTTACTTATTTGTAACTTTGCAGGAGGCTGTAAAGGGGCAGTTCTGGCGTCTGCGTGACCCTCAGGGGAAGCTAACAGGCGTGATGGGGTGGTGGCCATCAAGGGCTGTCACATTTATCGATAACCATGACACAGGCTCAACACAGGTACTGCGAGTTATGGTAATACTCACAATCTGCGTCTTCCCAATCCGGAATCTACTCACCTGCCAATTATTTTGTTCTTGCAGGCTCATTGGCCTTTCCCCTCAAATCATATTATGGAGGTATGAGTTAAAGTTTGTAGCAAACAACACAAGATGATTTTCAATTTGCATCATAATTTGCAATGAACTAGTTGCCGTTACATATACACACGCATATTATTGACTCCATGTGTTCCTTCCTACAGGGTTATGCAAACATACTCACATCCAGGAATACCAACAGTTTTCTATGATCACTTTTACGATTGGGGTGATTCCATTCATGAGCAGATTGCTAAACTGGTATGATATACAACACAAACATTAATTTCCAGGCAAACATTTTTCCAGTGACTGCTGCTTTTTTTTTTTTTTAAATTTCGGTACGCATGCTTGCAGATGAACATTCGAAGGCGTCAAGATATCCACAGCCGTTCATCTGTCAGGATCCTGGAGTCCTAAAACAACCTTTATTCTGCAATGATTGGAGACAAAGCATGTATGAAGATTGGGGATGGTTCATGGTGTCCAACTAGCAGAGAGTGGACACTGGCAACCAGCGGACACCGATATGCAGTGTGGCAAAAGCAATAATTCCTCATCCTTCTTTCCTTTTATTGCTAATCCCACTCAGGCATGATGGTTACTCTTTACATTTTACAATATTAAATTAAGCCATCCCATCTCCATATTTGCTTTGGAAAGTATTATGTCTCAGGAATTAACTACATTTATCATCAATAAAAACATAGAGCATCTTTAATTAGTCTTACATTTTGTTCCTGATGTTGACACATATCTTTTCATACATGCAATTTAGAACTTGGGAGTCTTTTTACTTGATTCATTCTCTTCTATTTTTTCTTTTGGCCCTTATATCAGCTCAAAGAACCTAATTATAAGAGCAGTTATAAACAATAGCTAGACAAGTGACTTGGAGGGGCTCCATATACTTTTGCAGTAGTGAGGCTGAAAATTGATTGTACAATCAATGAGACATTTAGATTATGAAATCAATGGAGGAATTAATACAGGCTTGAGAAAACAGCAGGCAATAGAAAATGCTGCTGACTAATAATGATTATCTGGTTACAACTAATGATAAGAAATCCTATCAATTGCGAGTTGGACTAGTAGGATAAGGCACAAAGTTCTTTTGAGTAGGGTCCCATTCAAATTCTGATGTTGTAAACAGAGAAAACCAGATTGAAAGTATCATCCCACAATGAACCTTTATAATATCCGATCCAAATTATTCAATTAATCAATCCAAATAGCATGATCGTTGAGCTGGAAAGAGACTTGTAGCATCAATCATTTAACCATATCAATATGAGCAATTGTATATTAAAAATCTCAAATAAATAATTATTTAAAGAAACAGGGCCCTCCAAGAATTATTTGGAAGAATAACTCTCAAATCGTCCACATAGGACGACATCGCGACCTCCAAACAGCGTGTTAAATCACCGTACCTTCCAACACGTGATATACGTCCAACGTGGGCTGACTTTCCAGGTAAGCCAATAAAATAATTAGATAAAATGACTTCGCGCATGGCGAAGCGCGAGATAGCCTGAGAATCAAAATATCGCAAGATTTATGAGAGACATCGCTACCTGCAACGTGCGATGATCTTTCAAATTGAAATTAATAACAAATAAATATAATAAATAAATATAATAATAATTAATAATATTAATTATTAAATATAATAATAAATTAAAATATAATAATAAATAAATATAGTAATTAAAATAGATATTTTATAAATAATAATTATAATATCTTTTATATATTTTGAAATAAAAAATTATATGTATAATATATTAAATATAATAAATAATTAATAATATTATAATTATAATATATTTTGAAATTTATATAATAAAAGCTTATATTAAATTTTTGTAAACAGAATCTTGCGCCTTGCAAACCGCAAGATAATA